GAGAAAGAGGGGGAGGGGGGGGGGGGGGGGAGGGAGGGAGGGAGAGAGAGAGAGAGAGAGAGAGAGAGAGAGAGAGAGAGAGAGAGAGAGAGAGAGAGAGAGAGAGAGAGAGAGAGAGAGAGAGAGAGAGAGAGAGTGAGTGAGTGAGTGCGGCGTGCGGCGGGTGCGCTTCGCGGGTGTTGAGGGTTGGGTTGCGAAACTAGTGCACCGTGAGGTCTCAACACCGGGAGCAAGCGCTCCTCAAGCTTATGTTCAGATCGAAGGCGCACGCTGAGGGTAGCGCTTTGCTCAGACTGACTTAGAGGTCGAGTGGGCAACATGTCCATGTATTTCCTTTGAGGAGTGGGGAAGAAGAGGAAACACGGCCACAACAACAGCAGCACCTCCTTTCTACCACGCGACTTTACCTCGGGCGTTGGTCTTGGAGGTGACTCCTCCCTAATTGTGTTGTTGTCTTTCTTCGGCGGAGAAGCTTTCGAGGCTGCTGTTGCAGCATCGGCAGCGGCAGCGGCAGCGGCGGTGGCGGCGGCGGCCGTCGCAACAGCGTCGTCACCGTCGCCAGCACCACAGCAGTCACCTGCCTCGTCGCCAGCAGACAACTCAGCAGCGTTACCGCTTGCACCACATGCAACAGCAACAGCGCCGCCGTTAGAACGACTTTCAGTAGCCAACTGAAGGTCCTTCTCGCACTTCGGTTCCCCACCGTTCCTTTCACCCGTAAGACCATCGCCATCAACGCTGCCACCACCTCCGGCAACGTTATCGTGCTGGGCTTGAGCACGACGGTGCTGGGGCAGCGACGCATCCAACGCGGCCTCGAGGTTGCGCGCAAGACTCGGGGCGTCAGACTGAAATCTGCCGAGGTCATCTACGATGCTCTTGTCGGCAGGAAGTGTCCCCTCCGAAGAAGGGTTGCTGCGATTGACGTAGCTGTGTGGAACAGGAATGGCCGGAGGAGTGCTCGTTGTGCCACCGCCGATAGCGTCTCGGTTCCGCCGCTTGTTGCGTCTGAACGCGGATAACAAATTCTTTCCATCCTTCACGGCCGAAACCGAGCCGGGAGCCCGAGGTCTGCCTAGAGCTGGAACGGGAGCAGGGGGAGGAGGACTTTCGCTGGGAATATCGCTTGCTACTGCATTGTTCCGGTGCATACCGCCAGTAGGTGTTCGGCTCGGGTGCGTTTCTCCGACTGCTGTCGTGTGTGGAAACGACTTTTCCATGCCGTGGCACTCCGTCTCCGGGCAGGCCCGCACGATGATGCGCGAATCAACGTCTTCAGCTACAACATCTGCCGAGCTCCCTGCACCCTGCACCCTGCACGGCAGGCTAGAGACAGACAATGCCAATCACATGCACGATCGATCGCACGATGTGCACGACCGACGCGGAGGAATCGAAGCTCAAACCACGGAGCCCCTGATGTCTGTCCCCCGTGGGGTATGCCTTCTGAGAAACCCTGGAGGCAACGCAGGCTGCAACGTAGAGCGCGACGCTCGACCGCACGAACCGCACGACGAACACCACAAGCACCTGCGCTGCGACCGGTCTTCTCTCCTCTCCACCTCTCTGCTCCATACCACCTATTAGCCTTGCTGATCAGATCCTTGTACGATATCCCACGTGCGACATTGGCGCCCTGATTCCAGCGCCGGATAGACCAATCCACCATATCAAACCATGATGCAAGACAAGCACGTGCTGCCGGCAGTGGCGACGGCGGTGCTCGTGTCCGCCATGGTGATGACGTATGTTTCCGCAAAAAGCAGGCGCCATGGCTGTAAAGGTGCGTGAGGTGCAGAACACGGAGATGTATGCTGCTTCGTTCACATGTAAGCCTTTGACTGCAGGCCTGTACAGCGGTGTCATGGCGCCTGCGCGCTATTATCTACATAGGCGTACGCGACGTCAACAGCACAGCAGCGGTGCTGCATATGCAACAGCCTACGCCTTGACACTGTTTCATGTGTCTCCTGATAAGCGCATGCTTTTGGCGTGCTACGTCATCTTCATAACTGGCACAACGTTTGAATGTTTGAATTCCCGTTCACACATGAACCGTGCTGAACCACGTGCGCCGTTCTTCAGCAGGCGAAAAGCGCCAATTGTCGGACCTCGTGCGCTCGAACATTCAAGACTTGACACCGTACCGATGCGCTCGAGACGACTACAGCGAAGGCGTGCTGCTGGACGCCAATGAGAACAGCTATGGTCCATCATTGGTGGCGGGTCAGGTAAAAAACAGGTTGAGCGAACCACAGAGCAGTAGTACAGCATGATCCTGCCCCCTGTCTGCGGTCGAAATATGTTGAATAGAACGAACGCCTCGCCGGAGCGCGTTAATTCGTTGGCGTAAAGTGTCTGCGTTCGGCAAGCCACTGCAGGCCTTGTCGTGGCCTGTCCGAACCACCCCATCTCCCCAATCACCCGACGCTTTCCACGTGGCACCGTGCCCTCAAACTGCTACCAAGAATGCCAATACAAGTCAACCCGAGTCTACCTGAAAAGGATGGGTTTCGAAAACCCGCTAGGGTACACGTCGCCGTCCGTATCCCCAGGGGTGTTGCCAACGATGTTACTGTTGTTGCCATGATTGTCAACTACCCGCGCGAACCACTCCCCCCGTCTCTGCCCGTACGGCGCCAAACGCCAATCGACTCCACATCCAACAGGGCACGGTGGATCTGGAAGGGTTAGACTTGAACAGGTACCCTGACCCTCAGCAGCTGGAGGTGAAAGCCTTGCTTGCGGAGATGAGAGGGGTGAGGCCGGAGCAGATCTTTGTCGGGGTTGGGAGCGACGAGGCTATCGACCTTCTCATCCGCATCTTCTGTACTCCTGGAGAGGACTCCATCATCGTGACACCCCCGAGCTACGGCATGTATAAGGTAAAGTTGATTTGTGCTTTACCTCCAGCATGACACCCGTATGAAGCCTTTCAGATGCCGCCCGTAGCACGTCGTGTTATCCCGTGGTATTTTTCAGCGGAACGCTTTTCGCACCAAAACTCGCCAGCTTGCGGTCCGCACGACTGACAAGCCTCCCTTGGCTTTTGTCTGTTCGCTCTTTTCGTCCGCCAACCCTTTTTCGGCATTCCCAGGTTTGTGCCAAGGTCAACGATGTTCAAACGCAGCAGGTCCCGTTGACACCGGATTACGACGTGGTAGTTTCTGAGGTGAGCGCGTTCCTCGTGGCACAGCAGTAGGCTAAGCAACGCGTAGCGGTAGCGGTAAAGTTCTGCCCACACACCATACTCGAGCCAAGACGTGTTCAGGTATCATCGGTCAACCATGCGTGCGTTGAAGTACACTCTTGGTTTGGTTCGCGAATGTTAATATTTGGCCCTATGCATGCGCGTCAGGTCGGGTTTACATGCTGTCTCTGTCGTGTGCATTCTCTCTCCTCGCGCTCGAATGCGTTCAGTTCACCGGCTTGTCTCACCGTGAGAGCGTTGATCCCGGTGCACAAGCAAAGCCGAACACGCGAGCGAGCAGTGCCGCGCACACCTTAGAGGAGGCCCTCCATTGCTGGGCTGGACAAAGATTGAGGCGAAGCCATTCCCCGCTCTCGTCAGTCAACTCAATAGATGCGTGGTCTGTTCTCCTTCCCAGTGCCTACACAACCGCGAGCAACGTAAAATGCACAGCAAGGCGTAATCCCTTTCGCCCCTGCTTTTGCATTCTCTCTCGTGGTATTTGTTTCACGGATCATGCCCAATATCACCACATTCCCAACACTAGGTTCTCCGGGCGGCCACCCCTTCATCCAAGCTCCTCTTCCTGTGCTCCCCAGGCAACCCTACCGGCAAGAGCATACCCGCGTCCGTCGTAAGAGACATTGTCGGGGGCGGCTTCGACGGCATCGTTGTCGTCGACGAGGCGTACGTGGACTTTTCCGGCAAGGACAGCGCGTGCTCGCTGATCGATGAGCTGGACACGGTGGTAGTCTTGCAGACGCTGTCTAAGGCCTTCGGGCTGGCGGCCATACGGTGAGCGTGTTTTCGTTGTGCAGGGCCTACAAGCACGCGGTGGTTTGCCGGGCAAGTACAGACCGCGGTCGATGGATGGGAAAGGGCGTGTCTCCTGATGTGTGTTGCGGCCGTTATTTGGCCGCTACAGCAGCACTGCTGTTGTTCGGTCGTCACCCACGCTTTTTGTCCAGGTGGTCATGATGTGTTCGTTGGCATGCGAATATCCATTGCGTGGATCTTTCGCCCTCTTCATCATGTTGGAACACTCGCCCCCCCGCCCCCCCCGACTCGTTCCTTTCGCTCTTCAGAATGGGCTTTGCTTACGCGAACGAACACATCATCCAGTACATGAACAACGTCAAGGCTCCTTACAACGTGAACCGCCTCACCCAAGAGGTCGCCGTTCGAGCCCTCAAGGACCGCAGCCTTTACGAGGACCGGGTCACCACCATCCTCGATGTGAGTTCTGTCCGTTTTCGGGAGGCCGTTTGACGTTTGACGCACATGGAAGATGCTGCTCTTCTGTTTCAGGTTGGCATCACCATAAGAGGAGTGCAGGCATCACTGTTCGCTGTGACGCTGTTCTCCGGCCGCGCGAGCCACTCCGTTGTAGGCTGCTCTTGAGCGCCCGCCATGACTAGTGGGTCACAACCAAGTCGCTGCTTTAAGGTGATTGAAACAGCGATGCCCAGACCGAAATGTGCCAGAAGATGAGTGGGCGGGTGCACCGCCGCTGCTTGACTCGCCTAAAGCGTGCTTTTCTTGACGCCCTGCTCGTCAATCGCGGGTGGCGAATTCACGCAGGAGCGAATACGGCTGCAAGAAGCACTGCGGCGCTACAGCTTTGTGAAAGAGGTCAAGGAGTCGGATGCCAACTTTTTCCTCGTCCAGGTGGACCACGCGCAGGAGATCTACAAGCGTATGGCCAACAACGGAGTCGTGGTACGATTCCGCGGCAACGAGCTTCACTGCAAAGATTGTCTGCGAGTGACGGTCGGGACCGCGGCGGAAAACAACCGCCTCTTGGAACTCCTCGAGAAAACCGTCGCAGCGATCTCGGCTCCGTAGCAACCTAGATAAGGGTTCTTTGGATAGCAATCTCGATCAAGGGTTCGTTGGTGGGCGTCATCGTGACACTTAAGAGTACAAATTCGCGTGGTAGTAAAATCGGGCACCCCTTACAGTTCAAACGTGAATTAATGCGGCTCCGAGTGCCAAGACCGGGTTCATGTCTGTTGTACGACAAGGAGAGAGATTGGTACGTGTCTGAGCTGGGAAAGGTAGAAGGAACGTACAGGGAGATGTTTGAGGCAAAGAATAGCCAGGACCTGTAGGTGCCTACAATATCTGGGGCATTGGAATTTGGTTGAATAGGCGGGAGAAGTGATATCGATCGGGTAGATAGGCTAGGGACGTTGCTGGGCCACCTTCGGCAAAGTAGAAAGGATTGATTGGCTGTAGTGGGAAGATGCTCGGCCCTCTGGAGGACGCGCGGGTGGTGCGCAAAGGCATGCAAAACATGAGTACGCACCCACCCCCCCTCCGCAAGTACAAGCAGTATTTCACGATATGCCCCCCCCCTGGTCCGGTGAGAACCCGGCGTGCTCCGTCCCGGCTTTGTAGGGATGCGAGGTCAATGGTCAAACGACTACGGCATGCACGACTATGAGTACACCCCCCCCCCTCCCGGCCCGAATCTGAAACTAACTGCTGTTGGCGTCACTCCCCGCCATCCTGTGTGCTTGCCTTGCAGCCGCCGTGTTTTTGGGGCCCGGTCTTATCTGAATGCGCATTTGTACACCACAAAGAAGGGTTGTGAATATAGATTGCCCTGCTCACGCAGGGCTGCCTCCACTCCGAGCCCCCCCGCGTTCCTTCGAACGTGCGTGGTCGGTTTCGACGAAGTCTTTTTCAAATCAAACTTCAGAAGACATAAACGCGTTGCGCGAACAGTCGGCACGCGGCTTTTCATTCAGATGCTTTTGCCGTCACTACTTTGCGGAATTTGCCGAGACTCTAGTAGTCATCGCGCTTCTCAACACTTTTCACTAGTTTGCACACCCACGCATTGTCTGCAGCGCTGGCTTTTGCCTGCATGTCTGCTACCTGTATGTATGTCTGCGTGTAGGCTTGGTAGGCATAGTGAATTTCAGCGTGAAGAACGATACAAGGTAACGGGTTGTTGTTCTTAACACCACGCCAGGTCTGAGCACCTGTTGTTAGGTGCTTAGATCTTGGATATTTTTAGGCTCAAGTTCTTAACACGTGGTCCTCCCGCCTCGTAGGTGGTGTAATGCAAAACATGCAGCGTACCTGAAAGCACAACCTTTTTTTGTGTTCGCCGCTTCGTTTGTGTAGGGCATCAGGAACAAGTGCACTATGCCCGCACTTTTCCCAAGCGACCGGGGCTCAGATTCAGTCAATTGCTGTTGCGTTATCCCTGCATGTGCCGCGCTATGCGTACCTCTGAAGCTAACAAGAAAATATTTAGCTTGAACCAAGACCGGAGGAACGCATGTCCCGGACAGAGCGCACTGGCCTCCGGCGGTTTGCATGCGAGAACAACAAAACAACTTAAAAACATCCCCAGTGAAAAGCGCGCGATCCCCCAAAAGCCACACACTCTTGGTGGTGCCCCTCTTCGTGGCCGCAGAGTTCGAGTTGCATGGGAGATGAACCGTTGGGGCCTACTTGCGATGATGGAGCGAACATATGTTCCAACTAAAGCAATCAATCCTCCAGTTAGAGAGAGCCATACATAACGTTGTACTAGCTCGCACACGTGGTAAACACAAACTACGTAGGTGTCGACTGGACCAGGCCTGTGACCCACGCCCGGGCACAACGCTTCCGGCTTGGAAACATTTTTGACTTGCAACGTACCAAACGAAGAAAACTAATGGTGTACTGTGTACACTTGCACGACAAGCCCAAGAACCAATTCGTACCTACTGGTACAGCTCTTTCACCCGGCTGCCCATCGTCGCGGACGAGCAAATAGTGTGGACTTTGAGAGGGCGGAGGGGTCACCAATGCTAAGGTTCCCTCCACGCTTCTCACTCACTCCTCTCCATCCTTGGCCGGTTCCGCGGCATCGACCTGGGCATCCTCGTGGCCCGCTTTGTGCATGGCGTGCGCTGCCTTGGCCAGGTTGTGCTGCGCTTTCTTGACGTCGGCAGGGTTCAGCTGCGCCACCGAGAAATGCCGCCGGCAGTGGGCGGGGGGGACACGATTCATGAAAAGAAAGAAGGATGTAGGGGAGGGCGCGGTCACTGTGCGAAAGAAGCATAATAGTGATGGGCGATGCGTTGATCTCCCTCATGTATCTATTTCGAACCTCCAAAACATGAAAATATTCTTCGCCACTGGCAAGCAAAGGCACTCGCCGCCGGGCCCTCAAAGGGAGACAAAAGCAGAACGAGAAGGAGCATATCTTCAAGAACCCAAGAGAATGAAACCCGGAGAGATACCAACCAAGGACGGGCCACTGACCCTCTGCAAAACGCAGCACCACGCTACCGTAAGTTTTCCGCACCGTCCCTCATCGTCCCGAACTCACCTTCTTGCGCCTCGAGTGCGGCACTTGGTGACCAGTCCGGGCGGAGGCGTGGGGCTCGTGCGCCGTCTCGCGGGCACCGGGGGGCCTCTACGCACCCAGAAGAGGTCAGGAAGTCAACATAAACGGGTTGGGCGGAGGTTGCAGAGCAATTACAGTCGGGATGGTGGAGATTCTTGCGTCTGTACGCGTGTCGTGAATCTGGACGTCGCTCGCTAAACTCCAAACACGAGTTTCAAAGTATGCGGACGTTATTCATTGTCCGCTTGGCATCGCACCCGCCATGCTTGGCACACGGTAACCGTGAGCGTCGGTGCACAGCAGTCATGAGGCTGGTACGCGATACGCAAGCTTTATTACACCACGACGGGCGACCTGCCCAAGTGATATCGATGCCATGTTGCGAAAACGCCTGTCCCGCGCGATTTCTTCCCGGGGCAAGGCACCAACCGTCGTACAGCAGTGAAAGGAATCTTCTCGAAAAGTGCAAAGAGTTGGCCACACCACACTACGCTGCCACCGGTGCTCACCCTGCCCATCGCCTCGTGCACAGCAGCGGGGTCAAAGCCGTGCGACATATCCCGGGCGAGCTTCTGAAGCGACTTCTTCTGCTGCATGTTCTTCGCAGAGTCCGGGGAGTGCTTTTGACCCCTACGTTCAGGCTTCATGTGGAGGTGCTGGTGGTGGTGCTGTGGTCGAACGACGGACGCACAGGGGGGGGGGGGGGGGGAGGGCGTACTCTCGTGTTTTGCATGCCTTAGCGGGAAGACCATTGACCTCGCGTCCTCGAGGAGACGGAGCATTGTTCCCACTGCACCAATCACCGATGGCCAATCGTTCCTTGCTTCTTTGCCGAAGGTGGCCCACACACTCTTCCCTAGTCCATCTAGGCCATCGATATCACTTCCCGCCTTTTCAACTCATGTCCTGTGCAGCTACCGTCTTCTCCTGGCCAGTCCATGCCTCAAACATCTCCCAGTATCTTCTTGTACTTTTCCCAGCTCAGTCATGTCTTCCCTCTTTTTGCAGCAGCCATCTCGCAACTACATGAACCCGGTCTTCGCACGTGGATCCGCTTGAACCTTTAATTTGTCATCTTCATCGTCTACGTTCTTGAAGGCCAATGCTCCCTGTCCTGAATTTGACCTTCAGCTTTGTCCCTGCATCCATTGGTCCATGTAGGTGCTCCTTGAACCCTTTCCTTCTTTCAACATTCCGTACACATCTGGACCTTCCCTATCCTTGGTGTCTTTGGTTACATTCTGTTCTTCTCTCTTGGTAAAAAATTCATAGGTCTTCTCCTTGTACATCTCGAGATCTTCCAGCATATCACCTTCGTCAAGTCCGAACTCCTTCCATATGTCATCTACAACCTTTACCCACTCCGTGGGTCGTCTACCCCTAACCTAGACGGACGTACTCATAGTCGTGCATGCCGAAGTCGTTACATTATTGACTTCGCATCCCTACAAAGCCGGGAGGGAGCACGCCGGGTTCTCACCGGACCTGGCTCTCAAATCACCAAGCGCGAAGCACCGTGAGATATTCGACGAGTCGCATGAAGGGTGCGCTGCATCCTGCTAACGGTGTTCGGCATCTTGTGCTTACTTCCTTGCGTACGGATGGGTGGCGAATAACGCAAATACTTTTCTCGTGCTTTCACTTCCAGAGACAGTTACAAGCACTGCCGTGTAACCGCCTCGAGGGTGCTTGGACAATTCAACACAACGTGGTGCGCCCATCCCCTTTGCGCGGAGTGAGGGTTCTCAACCCCCCACAACATGATCTACTCGACCACCATTATGGTTGCCGCAAAAAAAAAAAAAAGAGGTAACCTGGTTGCCGAGCTCACGAAGTGATCGGTTTGTTTTACAACGTCGTGGCCAAGCGACCACAACCCAACCCCGATGGCAAACGCTGGGGGGGGTGCTGGGGTGCCAGACGGACGGGGGGGAAGCAATTCGAAATATCCTCCTGAAAGTAGTACCGTCTCCTGGACGGACAAGCTCCCATCGATGCGGCGGGACCTGTGTCTACATAAGCATACCACAAGTGAAGCCCCTGGGCGTGTAGAAGGTATCTACCACTATTTAGGAAAATATTCGCTACAAAAGACGGTATTCTGTATTTGTCTACACGTTTCACTACCCCCCGCCTGGTCACAACTCCTATGCATAACTCTGACAAAAATCTCGGATCCGTGACGACAGAAGATGCATACCACGGACTGAGGGAGTGTTATGGGTTACGGTTGTAGACCCTCACGCCGACTCCGTGTACGTTATGAATCCGTCAGCCAAGCCAGGATGCAATCTATGAAATGGCTTTTTACTTTAACTCACGTCGGCAAGGTGTTCCGCAGCGCGACGCATTTTCTCCGCACGCATGGCTTCCTTGCCGGATTCCTTGCTAGCTTTCTTCGACTCGAGTTCTTCCTCGCGGGCCTGCCTGCAAAGCCGCCACAGCCGCCGGTATCAGGGGATGTCAGGACTCACAACGCTTGCAATTTGCCTGCCGTACCGAAATACTCTGATCATAAACCATGGAGTAGTCTACATGGCGTACACCACGATCAAAGGACTACCAACCGAACCAGTTATCAACGAGCGCGCTCAAGTCTAAACAACGAAGGTGTTCTACATGTCCCCCTGTCATGAGGACTGTCTTGCATGGAGTATAGTACAGCCCGGTCTAAAATTAACCCGGTGAAACAGTTGAATTACCCCGGGTGTTTTCTTGTGGATGATGGGCATGTTCTTGAGCTAGGGTCTGTGGCTTGGGCGTCATGCAACATACCTCTTCAGTTGGGTGGCTTCTTTCCGGGACAAGCGGCCTTCGCCGGCGTCTCGTAGGTGGCGGTTCATGTGGCCAACCATTTCGGCCGTTTTCTGGACGGATTGAGGGAAAGCGGCAGGCAGACAGAGGCACACAGATGTCATGGGTTCACGAGAGAGCGGGCGCATGCAAAGGCGCTGGGAAGCATGGATGTATCATGTCGTGGTAGGCTCAACTACAATGGGAGTGTGATCGATTCGATCAAATCGCACTGCTGTGTGTCCGCGAATGACACCCGAACAAGAGACCGGATGGTCGAGTCGTCCCTCCTGCGTCTATAACTGGGAAGTCGGAACTTGAGAGGAAGAAAGCTTTCTCACCAATTTACGCTCCATGTGCTCTTCCTCAGGGTTAGCAGTGGCAGCCCACGCCAACCCCAACAGGGTGACGGCCATGAAAAACTTCATCTTCGTTGTACGAGGTACTTGTCTATCTCGAGCACGGACGGTGGTGTAGGGGAGGCTGCTTGGTGTCTCCGAAGTGTGCGGAGAGATCACGAAATTTCAGCGCGCTTGGCTTTTGTCTCAGTTGTTAGGGGGCTCCGACCGCAGCACACCTCATGTTTCACATCTAGCGAGCCCCCCGCACGGAGCCAAGCCAACGTACAGTATTACGTACAACTGCATTGCACCGAACAAGGAACAGATAGCGAAGAGACAGGACCGGCGTGACGACGACAATAGGCAGGTGAGCTTGGCTGTACCAGCGGGGCGTGATCGATGGTATCCTCGTTGTGTACATGCGTCCTCGCATCTTCAAAGCAGAACCGTTAGCGGGTTACTATTTACTGTCTTTTGCTCACGCGGCTTGCGAGCTGCAAATGCGATTTACGGGTAAGGTAGGCTTGCAGTCGATGTGTGTGCATATCTGTTCCGCGTGTTTCGGCTACACAAGGAGGGTCGGCGCTTGCAGCTGTTCCCTGTGGGCTGCCAATTGTTTAGAAATGAACCGATAGATGACCATGTGTGTGCGTGTGCGCAGCAGCAGGCATCTGTTTACTGTCAGAGCTCGATGCCGCTTGCTGGCTGCTCCCCTCAGTCGCTCCCGGCGGGAGGCAGAACAATTTGCCCTCTCCAAGTGCACTGCTGTTGCCGCTTCCCCCACCCGGCGCACTCATGCCCGGCCAGTCGAAACATCCCATCGTTTCCCCGCATGCCGGCGTGTCCCTTTGCTCTCCCTAAGCTTCTTTGACGCGACGCAGGTCTCACTGCTGTCGTTTCTTGGTGTGTCCCTGGGCGGTGGGCCGCCAGTGTCTTGCGCCGGGAGCGCGAGATTGGCGACTGCTCGATGCAATCAAGTCTTCACCGCTATGAGCGGGCCGAGGAGAAGACGGGGCCTGTGCCCAAGCCGCGCCCTGCGAACGCCTCCACCGGCGTGAGTACCTAGTCTCGGCCGCCGTTTATTCCAACCATCGACCCGTGACGTGCGCGAGAATAGAGGTGGATCATACATACGTCGAATCAACCGCAGTCAATCCCTGTGAGAAATGCGCCGGCCGCGTGTGGCGTGTTCAATGTGTGCATGCACGTCCAGGAGGCGAAGGGGTCGTCATTCTCCTAGGGCACAATTGCGAGCCAAAACTAAGCTCGGAGATGAGATCAAGGCGGACGGTTGTGTGAAAGCGGAAGGGTCGTTTTCTCGCGATCCCTGTCGCAAAATGTCTTCCTTTGTCGTATGATATGACAATGCAGTTCCACCGCATATCATCGCCCCGTTCCAATCTCCCAATCGCCCAATAAACAAGAACAAAGTAGACTAACGTGCTGCGTGCCATGGGAGCGTACAACTGCGCTTGAAACACACCTCAGTGCTGCTAGCTATATTTCACAGCCCTACATGACGACGTTTTGCCGAGAGAGGTCCACGTGAATCGATTTTCAGCCCGCTCAAGAACAATTGTCAACTTTCGGCTGGATGCACCGTTGCCCCCGATCCTTTTCCGAGAAATGGTTTGAGAATGTACTGCCTTAATATCGAGAATTGAGAATCCAGGCAACGGCGTGGAGACCGTTCTTCCGTGCGCTTCGGACAAAGGGAATTTGAAGGCATATATGTATTCGGATGCTTGTATGCATGAAGACCTTGATAATTGGTTGGATTTTTCTTTTTTCTCCTACCAGCAATATATTGGCTGCTCACTCTAAAAATTCAAATTTTGTTTTGTCCCGTGTTTGTTTGTGCGCAGCAGTAGAGCTCCCTTTCACACCATGATGAATATAAGATATTTTGAGTCGATTTGTTCACACTTCAAGGGGTGTTGTTGTGTGGTTGATGGACGTGTGCGTACTGGCGCCTGCACCGTTTTGAAGCGCGCGTTTGGAACAAGAAATGTGGTGGCCGGCAGCACTCTTTTTTCGTATTTTCCTGGCCAGGTTCTTTCGTGGTTGATAACGTTTGCGCATGGTCGTACTTTCTTGTAGGGATCTGCATTTTTTTCGCCGTTGATATCGTATGCAACGATGGTAGCATTGGAGGCTCTCCCTGTGCTGGTAGGTATCCTGGTGTACTCCTCGGGGCGAGTTTTGATTGTGACCCTTGCATGATTTTGTTTTTCGGTGCCCTCCGTGGTGGTATCATGATCAACTCTCCCATGCCTAACCGCGACGCGTAGGTCTTAGTCGATGAGAAGGAGGAACATCAGGCCGGTCTGCAGGACAACGTCAGGAGGCCGGCCACCGAGTCGCTGGTGCACACCAAGCTTATCGCGGAGGGTCTGTTCGACGTGTCGAGGACCTCTGGCGGGCGAGGTACCGGCACGAGCCCGTTCGATCAGTTCGCCGCGAACATCCCCCGGGTCAGCGGCAAGAACCCAGACGATCCGAAGCGGTCGCCGGATGCTTTCGATGTGAGTGTTCTGGACTTGTTCATGGAAAGCCATCCTCGTGTTGCTTGCTGGACAGCCCCGTTGGCGAGATGAGTGTTTCTTTGATTTTTCGACCTGGCCAAGCATGTTGCAGAAGATGTATGCGATACATGTAGTTTCTTTGTTCTTGCCCGCGTCTCCCCGTCGATGACCAACCAGCGACGAGATGTTCTTTTGTGCTGATGTGCATCGCCCCCCCCCCGCCCCCGTCCTCAACAGGTGCTTGCAAAGGTGTTCGACTTTCAGCAAGATTCGGTCTTGAACCAGCGAGACAACGCCATATCCATGCTGGCTAGCCGCCTATCCAGGTGAGCGTCTTCGACACCAGATGGCCCACCGGACCTAAGTGGCGTTCCTTTACTTTTTCGTTTCAGCTAAGTAGTTTTGTGGTGACACTCAGTGCCAGCGAGGTGAACGGCATCTCGGCCCTTTGTTTCTATTTTGTCTCTTGTGGGGGACGATTTTTTTCATCCCCAACAACTCCAGCTGCTGAAGCTGACTCTATTGCCACTGCCACTAGCTGGGTAGTGTTTAGCGCTGGTTCGGCTTCCCGTAGCTGGCGTTGTACTGCGTCCACGATAGCAGACATGCCAGGTGTACCAGTCATGTACCTCCAACATACGATCTCTTCCGGTGACCGAAGTGTCTGTGCGGTACCAAAGCGAACAACCATGCTCCGACCATTGGTATCGCTGGTGCTGTATGCCTCCCCCTCATCATTCCGTCTGCGTGCCCCCCCCCGTGTATCTGTACACCCACGCCCATTTTTCGCTCCCCGCGTTCCTTCATTGTTTTTTCTTCCTTCTCTCTCTCACGCGAATCACCCAGGGCTGTTGGGCATGAGCTTGAGAACCAAGTGACTCTGCAGGATGCCGGTCTCGTCCTGGAGGCCTTTCGAGGAGAGCTTTTGTCCAACTACACACGGTGGTGTAGGTGAGAACCGCGGTACAGCAGTGCGCCCCATCACTGCAGGGCCTCCTTTCTTCGGGCAATGCTGGGGGTTGTTATGTATTTATCTGGTGTACGGGACGCACGGGGTTGTGTGGATTTGTGGTAAAGGGCACCCGCCGAGCGAGGCAGGAACACGGCATCCATGGCTCTCTCCCTCTGTGTGTTTTGTACCACGTCGAGAAGCTACACCGAGAAAACTTGAAGCAATGCGAAGCTGGAGTCCGTGCAACCATCCCAGGTGTGGGCCCCTGCCTCTTGGGCGGTTTTTTTTTTTTGGGGGGGGGGGGGGCACGCAGCTCGGACGATTCTCGTTGGTCGGCTTTCCCAAACAACAGAGCTCACACCCGACGGATGTTGCTGTTTTTTATGCCTTGCTGTGATGACTGCCTGGCCCCAAACGCCTCCCACGTGCCATATCGATCGATTTGAAGGCATAAGGGGATTCATTTGGCAACTCGTTCGGATAACCGTTCCAAGTACGGTACCGATTGACCCCCCCCCCCCCGTTTTTGTTCCCGTGCAGCTTTCTTGGCGTGACCCCGGTCTCGCTGCAGCCGCTATTCACACCCCCCGGAGGCGAAAGAGCGGTAGAGTTCGCCATGGCTACGGAGGGCGCGCTCATGCTGCTCATCTGGGGAGAGGTAAGAGAGGAGCAGCGTTGGTGTTGGTTGAATGTTGGCTGACTGCTTCCGCTGGTTGGCAGGATATGGCGATGATCGTTTTTGTCGAGTAGTTGATGCTTTTGGGTTGATGGGCTGATAGTCGTGGCCTTGGTGGCCTGACAGGTCAACTGTTTTTGTTGTGGTTGTTACAAGAGTGGAATGTTAGGGTTCCCGGCGATTTATTTCCGTTTTTTGTTGAGATAGTAGTTGCGCCGCTGCCGTGTAACCTGGGCGTTTCGTGGTCTACAGCTCGCCTTGTTGCGAGCTGTGTCTGATCAGATGCTGCAAGATCGGGCTTGTCCAATGCTGGATAAGTGGTTGATCGTGCAGGTGTATTGGTTGTCTTTACGGGAGACAGTGGCATGATGTAAGTACCGGCCTCCCATGATGTTCATCATGGCCGCAAAAGGAAGAATCGCACGTCTGCGCCGGAGGCGTTGTGTTTTTGTGCTAGGACGTTTGTTGTTTTGTGTGGGAAACGCGTGTCCCTTTGGTGGGAGTGGCGCAGGTTTGCGCTTGTTTAAGAGAGGAACGTTTAGTTTTTTTGTGGGAATGTGCGTGGGCCACACACAACGGGTGCAATGCCTTCTTACAACTATGGTCGCCGTGCCCACAGCACGCACCACCAAAATCGCGGTTCCGTGGCAGATCGCCGAGAGGCATTCGAGTGAGAAATCCTCCCGTTTCTCTTGAGGACCGGAATCAGACGTGTACAGAAAAGACACACGGTCATTTTTTGGTCGGGGGTATTGTAGGGTGATTCTGATCGAACACGGAGAAACACGCCCAGATGGCAGTGACGATCTCCCATCTTAGCTCGAGTTGTTGCGCCGGTTCCTGCTTGCCGCCCGTCGTCGCTTCGTGGTAGGTGTTTGTTTCGCCTCTGTTTTGCACCGTGCAGTGTGCTCGCCTTGCTTACCGTATATGACACAAGATAACACACCCCCTTGACCGTTTTTCAAAGCTCGATTTCTCAACAGCAGGAAGACTCACAGCGCCGAAAACGGCGGCGTTGGAACCGTCTCGTTGAGATCTTTTCGAAAATGTATCATTTCGTTTATGTATCCTCTTCGTCATCGAGTAATCAAGCTTTGAAAATCGGGCCAGGGGGTGTGTTATCTTGTGTCATATACGGTATATTTGTCTCCTCCTTTATCCTCCCGCCTGCCGCCCTTGTGGTAGCCGCTCTCACACATGACACTTGGAACACCTCGTTGTCCTCTTGTCGAGCACGTTCTCGCGCTGGTTCTCTCTCGCTCTCGTTGTTCTGCAATTGTCAACAACGCCGCTGGTGTGCTCTCGTACGCCGATGCATGCGCCCTTTCTGATTTGTTTTCGCCTTTCGCGGTCGGTCTCTTGGAACTTGGGTTTTGCAGGCGGGCAACCTGCGCTTTTGCCCCGAGTTCCTCTGCTTCCTGTACCACAAGATGTCCCACACGTTCAGGACCGTAATCGAGGGCAAGTCGCCGGACATTACGGTGCGTGGCCTAGCCTTCGTTGTTATCGTTTGTATACACGGCTTCGTGTCCTGTTGTGATGTAACCCGTTCTCATGAACCAGGCAATATTAGCGCTCAAGGCGTACAGATGCAAGAAATACATGACGCGCGGTCGAGACGGCCACCATGGTCAAAACAGTATTTTATAGCGGTGTTTCCTCCTTTTCACAATAGCTTGGTAGACGCTGCTGTTGCTCGTGCGGCGGGGATGGGCTATTGCTTCTTTTCACTGTTTCTCTCTGGCGCGTCGTCACCGCGAACTCTTTTGTGGGTACACCGTCCGTGTCCTTCCTGCTGCGCAAGGTTCCCTCGTACCTCGACGAGGTAATCACCCCGGCCTACAGCCTCTTGGCGGAGCAGCTGTCCAAGATCGGGCACGGAGTGATCGACCACTCGAGCGTGAGAAACTACGACGACTTCAACGAGATATTCTGGCAGGAGGAGTGCCTCAAGCTCACGATCGCCACCATGTTCGAGGGGAAGACTCTCAAGAAGAAGTGAGTCGAGAGGGTTCCGTGAATCCAGGAGAGGCGTGAGCTCTTCGACTTTGGAAGGCGTGTTGGTTGAGGCTTGGGGAAGGACCTTGACAGCATTAGTCTATGACCGCGGAGAGTTGTCGAAGATCGTCCCCGACAGCTTTGATCCCTCGGGCACACCTCAGTGCCAGTGTTAACGCTCCTGTACCTAGAGTTTGGTGTAGGTCCTGATGATGCTGTCCAACCACGTATCGAACAAGCCCCTCGGCTTCAAGCTTGCCTTGGCCGCGGTGCACCCGCCCTATCGTGTCTTGATGTGTTGTTCCCCGCCGGCACTCTTGGTTCCTAATTGTATTGTGTTCCCAAAACTGAAACGTCGAAATATACCAAAAACACTTATTTACGTATGTTGACCGGCAACAGGACTATGAAAAAGCTAAATGTACTTCTTCGCCAAACATGTCGCGTCATTATACGTGTCAGGCGGCCGTTCCTTCTTGAATGGGAAAGTCCGCTGCAGGCCCGTCGTTCCACCATTCACTCCGTGTACTGTACCGTGTCGTTTCAGAAAAGAGCCACTGTCACCGCACCAGACCTTGCTTCGTTCCAAACCCCTGTTGGATGCGGATGAGGTCGACGATATCTCTTTCGATAAACAGGAAGACCGTCTTCTTGTCCAGCTTGGCGAATCGTCTCTCCAACCTGGACAAGAAGAAGGTGTTCCTGTTTACCGAAAGGGTCGGTGTCGAACTCGTCCGCATCCCACAGGGGTCCGGAACGAAGCGACTTCCGAATGCGTATATTTTTTAATCGACATGGTATACGCGTGAACGGCTGAACGACGGCCCAGCAGTAGGCCTGCCGCATCAAGAAGGAATGGCCGACCGAGTGCTCGATGTAAAATGCTATCGTATACCATTGGCAAACAATAATTCGTTTATTCGTTCCTTGCTTCGAACGCGGTTCAGGAATAATTCATTTTGGTACAGTGCGGAAGAGTCTGTCGATTTTGGTTGTACGATGTGTGCGTAATGTTGTACGGGGAACCCTGAAGATGGCATTGCCGCCACCCTCAGCGCACGTGGGGTGCTCCTGGAGGTCCAATCTTACTCTGACTCATGGGCGGACCCGTCTGTATCAACCGCAAGGGGGTCTGCTGCTCAACACGAGTTTGCACCCACGTACTCACTCTTCCTTCTCCAAACCATTCAACACACGAAATCCCGAAGGGGATCTACTGCTCAACAGCAGTGTGCACTCACTGACAAGCTCTTCCTTGTCCCGACCATCCAACACACACAGGTTCCAGAAGACTTTCGTGGAGCGACAGAGCTGGCTGGTGCCCATATTTCACTTCTGGAGGGTGAGTGGAGTAATCCATTGATTGGTTTGAGAGCACAGGATACGGCGACATGCGTGCATGCGTTGAGAGTTTCTTTACTCTTGGAGGCGGAGGCGTTTTCCTACGGGGATGGTTGATTTTTGGTGAGAAAGTGTGCCAGACATTGAATAGATTCTAACTCATCGCTTATTGCCCCTGTCCAACTACTTGAATTCAAGCTTGACGTGAGTCGCGATGGAAACGTTATTTGGTCGTAGTTTTTCGCCGAATGTTCCAGTGAACCCTCAAAACGCACTTCACTACATATATGCAATTTGTCACATTTTTTCCTCACTCGCTTACCATCTGCGCCCCCCCCCCGCACGCCTTGTGTGTCTTCTCGCGCCTTTTCGGTCCTTGAACGACAACAATAACAAATGAAGGTGTACGCGCTTCACATCATGGGGTTGCACGTGATGATCGTGGGCGCCAAGTGCCAGCAAGACTTGGGGGAGTGCAGCTATGCCCAGTGGGCGTCGACCGTGATCACGCTCTACGCGTGCTCGTTCGTCAGGGTACATATTTTCTTTTACCAGTAGTATGTTCCGCCTCTCGCATTTGAGCCGGTCCTTCGGCGTGTTCTCCTCTGAACTTATGTCGGGGGTTTGGTGTCCTCCACACTCTCTCTTTCGCGCTCGTTTGTTTTCTTTTTCAACACACGGCCGCATAATGCCGTCCAGTCCAAAGCGTGAACGCTTTTGATACGATAGAATAGCCACCAGCGTTTGTCCATGGTCGCGTGCGAGTGTACGCTATAGTCTGAAACGCCCCAAGTCTCTGTACGTGCCGTGCTCGCATTAACTCTTTGCCGTGGCACGTGTCGTATTCTCCTTTGTGCTCTCCGTACGGGGAGCAGGCGCACAGGACCTACTCCGCGACCCAAAGTGATGCGTCCTCACGCGTGTTCCGGGGTCACCGCGGCTAGGATTGTGGATCACCCCCCCCTGTAGAGGCGATTCACTCCCGACCAAACCGAAGAACGCTCCACGTGCCTGTTCGTGAACAAATCATGGACACAATTGAGGGCAGAGCCAAGACAGGCAGGATCCCGTCCACTCTACAACAGCAGCAGTGACCAAACTTCGCGAAATATCTGCCTTTGCACCTCTCGATCTGTAAACCTAGGACCTGTGGGACATCAAGCAGGCGGCGTACGTCTTCGGAGGTCACCGGGGACCCTTCGGGCAGCTCCTCCTCAACATCCTGCGCGGCGGGCTGAAGGCGGTCATCACTCTCCTCCTCGGTAGTTTTTTTTTTCGTTGTCCTATTCTTGACTATCATGCCTACGTTTGTATTATAAGCGGCTTCCTCCGACTTCACTTCCAAGATCAAGCCAGAAGTTCACCCCCCCCCCCCCCCCCCACCCACCCCGAAAAAAGGGCCCAGGAAAATAAGCAGACACTCATGGCCTCGCCACCCCTCTCTCTTCGCACATGGCATGATGCTTACTTCCGCCTCAACTGTTTTCGCACACCCCTTCCTCCCTCTACTTTTGTGCATGTGTTGTGTTTTTTGTTGCTTTTGGGATTCGGTTCGGTGGCGCGTGGTCGTGATGGCGTGTCGGTGGTGGTGGTGGTGGCGATGATGATGGTGGTGGTGATGGCCGCGGTGAAATTTCTCAGTGGTCATGTACTGGTCCGACAGCGAGTTCTTCCCATACACGGCCGCCGTATTCTTCGTCATCGCCGCTGCGTCGGAGGTGAGGAGCGTGTTGTGTCGGTTCGGCGAAACCGCCGGCGTTTGTTGTTTCCGTTCGGCGTTACCCTTCGTGCGGATTCCCGGTTTCGCGCGTGCCTTGTTCCCGTAGGACGCCTCGGGCCGCTTCAACCCCCAATGCATGGGAGTGGTCGTGGGGCTAACCGTGCCGTGCACGTTGTGTTCGTTCCCCTCCCCGCGAAAATGCCTTGGGTGGTGGTAGAACACCTGTTTTCAACTCTCTTGAGCTTACGAAGCCCATCCCCTCGGTGGTCCCTGTCATATGCCACGCTCTTGGAGCTACTGCCGTACGGTACCACCTTTTTTTTTTCTTTTTTCTTAACTTTTGGTCGGCGGCGTTCTGTCGACAGGCGGTGATGCTGACGGAGCTGTGGTGGGGCATCGCCTCGTACGGCAAGTGGGGCACTTCCACGGAGCGCAGCTGCGCCGGCGGCGGCTTCGCGGCCTGCCTACCCTCTCGCCTACGGCAACTGGGGTGGTCGTTCATCGGGAGCATGAGCGGAATCAACTCGGTCAACCTCTACACCCAGGTACGGTCGGTGTATGCGTCGGAGGAGGATGCGCCGCTGTTTTTTGTTTCGTTTGTCCTGCTGCTGCTGCTGCTGCTGCTTCTGCTGCCCGCGAGGCTTCGGTGTCCTATGTGGCGACCTTGTTGTGTACCAGGTTGGTTTTTGGGCCGCTTGTTGTTGAGCGCGCTGTTTCGGGTTTGAGACGTGAGCGGCGTTGTTGGTGTTTAGTCGCGGCAAGGTCGTTGTGATGCCAAGTTTTTCTTTCGATTTTTTATTCGTCTTCAAAGTTTGATACTAGATTTCCAGTTACGCATTCAACAGAGCTGCGTTGCTGGCTGCAAATCAATAAGTTGTCTTTGAAGAGCACTTGGCGGAGTTTGAAGCATGTAATCGTCAAATTGCAGCGATGCCACCTCCCTCTAGCGTAACTATATCCCAATTTCTAACTCTGATGCCTGTCGCTGCTGCTGCCGCCGCCGTTTTCTGTGGTTGTAGGTGCATTCCCTTCCTCCGATAACGAAGAGGGTGGCCTACATCCTGTTCTGGGCTCTCGTCCTCACTACCAAGGTGCGTAGCTGCTGCTGCTGCTGCTGCTGCTGCTGCTGCTGCTGCTGCTGCTGCTACTGCTGCTGCTGTTTTCGTTATCGTACAAAAGACCTACGACAGATAAATGTTGGGGGTTGTTGCCTCCGTGCCTTTATGGTTTTCGGTCCATACGTATACGAAATGGGAGCAGCCTAGGCTTCTTGTGGCGGATAAGTCTTTCAGGGGGTGCGACGGGTGTTGTGCACTGCGGCACACACGGCTCGATTTTCACTACTGTACCACCAATTTGCGAAGAAGAGGGCAGGGGTGTTTCTTGGTTCAAACCGCCCTGGCCTGGCTTACAGAACGCACGCAAGTTGCAATCTTGTGGTGATACTGGAAGTGGGCGTTTGCTTGCTTCCGGGGACCGATAGTCCACCCTCTCGATTGTTCGTGTAAGAGTGCTCGTCGATAGATGGTGTGTCATGCACCATGTCTTGTGCTCCGTACCGCAGATCCTGTTCAGCTACTTCGTGGTGATCAAGAAGATGACTCTGGCGACCTACACCCTCAACGAGGCTGATCCCACGGACTACGACTTCGGCGTCCTCGGCACTCTCGAAGACACCGGCAACTACCTCTACATCGCCGCACTGTGGCTGGGCAGCGGCCTCATCTACTTCCTCGACATGCAGATATGGTGAGAGAGTGGGAGAGAGACAGGAAGGCGGGCAGACAGAGAGAAGGAAACACAGAGACAGACAGGCAGACAGACTGAATGACACACCAGCGGAAGACTCGTTCGTGCGTTGTGACCTTGAGAGGTCGAGAGGTCGCGAGCTCTCGGTCTGTGTGTCGCTCATCTGAAATTTCGTCGTGATCTAGCCCGTGCCGCCACGTTCATGCCAAGACACCATGACGGCGTCCTTCGACATGCAGGGTTGGGGTTAGAGACGAAGGACTTAAAGTTCGGCGCGCTCAGGCTCTCGGCAGTTTCGTGCGCGACGACAAGAATCATGTGCTCGAGACGACCCCTTGTGTATGTGTGTGTTTGTTTTCGACGCTCGTCTAGGTTCGTGGTGTGGGCTAACATCGCGGCCGCTTGCGAGGGCGTGAGGCGGAGAGTGGGTGAGCTCCACTCTGGTTCGCAAGTGGTGCGCGCTTTCAGCCATCTTCACAAGGAGTTCTTCAAGTGAGTCGTGGATGTTGTTGTGGTTGTTGTTGGTGTCTTTGCACTTTTTCGACACTATAATACGAAGGGCCTCGCACCTCTTGTGAAGGTTGCTGCGGAGGTGTCATGGCAGCCTTCGAGCCCGGTGAACACGTTTTCCTCGCAGTCTCCCCGGCCTCGCCCCCTGCTTTCTGTTGCGCACACAACGCCCCCCACGTTGCACCGATGGACTAGACCCCAGTACGGCCTCGATCGACTGCGGCGTCACCCCCGTACGCACACAAAACATGCACCTCACGAACTTGTAATGTTGGGCAGTGTGGGACGCGCGCCACCATGTCGAGCGCGGATATCGGATGTACTTGAACTCCTTTTGGTTGGCTTGCTTCTTCTCCCTGCGCTCGCTTGGGTGGTGACGTTACTGTCGCACATGAGGCACACCCTCGGACCATCTCAACATTTCGTACGTACTCCGAAATCCAAAACTCCCGGGCTAGTTACGTTCTTGTTCGTTTAGTGTGGAAGATTCGCACCGTTCCAAGGAATCGGACGATGGCCGACTCCTGGAACGCTAGACACCGTCCTAACAGACGCCGCTCGCCGCCTTACCAAACAAACGCCCCAGCTACTTGAAGCGCGAGATGCAGAGCACGACGATGCACACGCGGTTCGCCCACGTGTGGAACGAGATCGTCGACGCCATGCGCGAGGAGGACATCCTGTCCAACAGGGAGCGGCTGCAGCTGCGCTACTTCCTGATCAACCTCCGACTGCCCACCGCCGATCCCAACGCGCGCAACGTCAACTTCGCCCCGGAGGCTCAGGTGTGGATGGGTGCTTTGTGAGGATACCTGTGTTGTTTGCGCTGCGGCGAAGACAATGGTGACGGTGGCGGCAATGGTCCGAAGACCCGTCTCGTGGAGGGCTTTCCTTTGAATGTGTACAAGTATGAACTTTGGTGTCCTCTCGTCGTGGTGTAGTAGTCGAGCTTGTGGGAGTCGGTTCCTGGGGATGTGGTATATTCTGTAGCCTACGGCATTCTTCACGTCTTTGTTGAGCCCCCGCTTCCGCCTTACGCACGTGCCTGCTTTCGATCGAAGTCAAGGCGCTTCGGCGGTGTCGTTCTTTTGAGACTGCTGCGGATGCGGATGCTCACGGGGGGTGGGGGTTTTGCCCCCCAAGACCATCCATTCGCTGCTCTCCCCCCACGCTTAGACGCTCTGGTCTCATGTTGTGTAGCCTCAAGAGGGTTTCCACAGACGTTTGGTACGAGGCGACTTCTGCTTCTGCTTTCATTTCTTCTGGTGCTGGTGCTGCGCGTGCTTGAAGGGTGTGGCTGCTCCTATTGATGTTTGGTGGTCGCTTTTGCTAACGACTTGTTCGTTTCTCGGCCGTGCGCTTTCATTCACTCCTGGGCGTCTGTGCGTGTTTCCCTCTCATCCGTTGCAGGAGGGGGAGTGGGGGCCCCTGTTCACGCTATTGCCGGAGTTCCTCATGTCGGGAGCGGTACAGCGCGCGGTACAGTCGGCTTCTGATTTCGGGTGAGTTGTCACGCTTTCATTTCGCTTTTTCTTTGCCTGTCGTGGTTTCTGGTGGATTGGTTGCCAACGGACGTAGGCCATCGCAGCCAACAGTGGTGTGGATCGTTTGCCCTCGGGATGAACCATATCCATGAGGATCTTCTGCCCCCCCGGATGACTATGCGGGGCCCCTCTCCACGATGACGATTTTGGACGTCGTTTGTAGGGTCACACCTCGTGTTGGTATTTCACTCTTGACGTCGTACTACTGTAGTGTGATGACCCCCTTATACTCTCTGCTGTTTGGTATACATCCTAGGCTTGGCGTTTTTTTTTTTATCGGTAGGGCTCTTTTTCACTGTTGTGAATCTCGTGCTCTAGGTAGGCTTCATTCACGCTTTTTTGTTTTTGAATCTTCACTCTGCATCGAAGGCTCATGTGATATATGTTGAATGTTGAACCGTTAGGCTTCATTCTTGTTTTCGAAATCTCTCCGCCCTTTTAGGAAGAAGATCGCAGACGACGTTGCGGAGATCAAGCGCGAGGAGAGCCTGGCCATGCACCAGTCTCGCAACAACGTGGTGAGGGCCTCGGGGGTCTCAGTCAACGACCGGCAGGCCAACGCCAGCAGGCTGCGCGCCAAGCTTGCGTACCACCAGGCGAAGTTCCTCCTCACCAACGGGAACGACCAGGTATGCATACGTCCACGCATGCCATGTGAAGTCGACACATGTATATTTAGGTCGTCCCGGGAATGATACGCCGCTATGAATTGATCGCTGTACTGATTCATCCTGGACCCGTTTTCTTTGGAATTCGTTTGTTTTTTCCGGGTAAGAAAGATAAACGATTGGAGTTGTCATGTATATGAAACTATGAAATCGTCGCTATTTTTGCATGGACGCTTCTGTGTTTGGATATAGGTGGTTTTTCTGTGAGAAAGATTCCCCGACGTAGCGGGATACGGTACTGTGAATTCGTGTGTATTAGTTGGCCTTGTTCTGTAAGAAAACCAAAGTAAGTGTGGTGGGCGTTTGATTGGTGATCCCTACAATTGTAAAGACTGGGAGAAAATATAACGCGTTGCATCCACCACTGGCGCCACCAACAGCGAACATTACTAACTACTGCTGTAGCACCGCATGACCGGGATATAGACATCGATTACGTTACTGCGCCAACGCGTACCCCCGCCCCAACAGGTGTCTTCGGAGATGGTGCGGCAGCTGTCTGCCACCGCCTTCATCCTCATGGACGCGCTGTGCAGGAACGATGATCTGTCTCGCTCGCTCTGGAACCTTCACCGGGCTCTGTTTGCCAGCGATGTTGGCCAGGGTGGGAAGGGCATCGGAAAGTGAGCAGCAGCACGTTTGTTGTTGTTGTGGTCGTCGTAGAGTGGCCGTTGTTGTTTGTTGCTGTCGTTGTCGTTCTCGTAGTTGTGCGTGTTTCTGGAGCTTATGCCATCGAGGGGGGGGGGTGTTATGTTGTCGTTTCAACAGCTCCCTCCCGTACTGTAGACGTTTGCCTCCGTTGAAACGCATTGCTGTGTCCACCTTCATATTTTCCTGACACTTGTATTGCTCTTTGATCCACCCTTGCTTGGTGTTTCGACGCTTCTTCGAAGGTCGGAGGGCTGGATCGCGGCGCTGACGAACTTCAGCGACAACAAGGACAAGCCGGCCGTGAAGGTGGTGGCTTCCTTCAGCAAGAGGAACCTTCTCTTCTCCGTTCAGAAGTGAGACGTTCTTATCCTTGCTACCTATCTTGCTCCCGCTTGCCAGCAGCTAGCTGGTCTTGTGCCCGTAATGTATGGTGTGCCGTTGCAATCACGTCGCCTTGCTCCTGTTGTGGCCGCTGTTGCGGTTAACCTCCCTCGCAGAGAATAAGTCCGCCTGATTTCGCCGGTGGGATGCTTACGCGCATGCCGCCATTCGTTTTTGCAACTGTTTTCGATGGAACGGTGTGCTCGTTCTGTGCTGGTTTTGTGTGTTGTTTTTGCGCCTCCTTGGGGGTTTTGTTGCCCGACTTCACGCCGGCAACAATATCACCAGCAGAGAGTATCAACCCCCAGCTTGACGATACCAGCTATTTAGTGCTGCTGCTACTGCTACTATGCTGCTACACCATTGTCACCTTGGCAACAACGGCAACGACATTGCACTAACATCGCCAACAATTCACAACGTTTTTTGCCAGCTTCCCCGGCTTCGTGGCTGCCATGATCGAGCTGGTCAAGGCCCTGAACAAGCACGTCACCACCCCCAACTGGAACAAGGACGTCGCCGCCAAGCTGGACAAGATGGTTGAGGCGGTAAGGACGCGTGACGCAGAGAGGGATGCAGAGAGAGCACGGGGCTGGTGGACGAATGTTGCTGAGTGTTGGTGGTATTTGTTTTCTTTTCAAAACTCAAGGCAACCGACGTTGTTTTGTTCTCGGTTGGTAGGGTATAGTGAAAGATGTGTGCGTTGAGTTTTTGGGGATGTCGGACTCCTCGTTATTTTGTTCTGCACGTCTTGTTGTCGCCGCCGTTGTTAGTGCAATACCGACAAGCTTAACATCCGCAGGCTGACACATTTGGTCACATACATAATAGACAAAATTCTCAACAAGAGCCCAGGATGATTCAAAAGTGTAGAAATGCTCGCCCGCTGACGGTCTGAATAACCATCTAGCCCGACGCAAAACGTTTTCAGTTGGTTCCTCCCCAGGCCCCCGCCATTTTCCCAGGATCTGATTCTTCCGAACCCCTCTGCCATCGGGCATGACGATGCATGTTGTGCTTTGATGCGGCCGTGACACGCAGCTGTTGGCTCTGCTGGAGACGAAGACCGACTCCATCCCCGACAACACGGCGGCGAACGCCTTCCTGAAACTTCTCCAGGTGGGTGTGCAGGGGCAGGAGGGCCGTCCTTAGTTTGGATGGCGTCGGGCTGGATTTTTGTGTCTTGTTGGCACTGCCTTGGAAGTCAATGAGGCTGAGGCTGCTACTGGTGCTACTGCTACAGGGATGGGGCCAAGGATTTTGCTGACATGTATTATTGTGGGGTGAATTATTTATTGTCGTCTTGATGTAGTCAGATTCCCTGGATAATGGAATCGTCTCGAGGGTCTCAACGAAAACACCCCCCTCCCGCCCACCTTTTCATGCACACGCCGATGTACGCTGTTGACCCAGCGTAACTCAAAGCGCTGTAATCAATCGAACCAGGCCCCTGAGTCCGCTAGCACGGAACACCAATCACACTGCTTGCTGTGCTGCCTGACCGCACATCCCAAAACATCAGCCACACCGCTGTGCTGACCTGACCATACAATGCTGTGGCATCCCGACACATGTACCTGTGCGGCACTCAACGTCTACCGACCGATGATTCGTATCCCCAGAACGTTCGCCTCAACCTGGACGCGTGGAGGTCGTCCTTCAGCGAGGCCGGGGGCGCGGCGCCGGGAGCTCGGCCGTTCAAGTCGACGGCGAAGGAGTTCCTCCGCCGGACACAGGTGTTCCTGGAGGCGCCCGGCAACTCGCAGCCCGGACTGTGAGTGGAGAGCCAGAAAGACGGTTTGTTTTGTACATCGGAATAGCCGCAGGAACATGCCGCTCCCTTTGTGTCCTTGTTCTTGGCCCGCGTTTGCGAGCTGTTTTCGCCTGGAGACCCGACAGTTTTTTCGCTTGTTGCTTTGCTGGAGATGCTGGCCAAGTGTCGGCCATGCAGCGGAAGCCCGTTCCCCACATTTCGCAAACAGTGATGATACGGGGGTTGACTTCTCCTTGATCTCGCCGCTTGCGGCGCAAGCAACGGAGCACAGCTCAACTACCAAGCACAGCAGGGCTTGATGCAAAACCGCGAGATGCAGCAATTGGCGAAATGAAAACAAGGCCGCCGTGTTTGATGCCGAGTCTTCCCCCTGTCTGCGTTTTGCCTTTCTCGGGTTGTCGGCACTGTTGGGGTTGTCCAATAGGGTTGCTGACTTTTCTTCAGGTTCGCGGATTGTCGGTGTTATACTACTGTTGTGGTTGACCTATAGGATTGCTTAAATTCGGTTCTCGGTTTGTCGACACTGTTGTGCTTGGCCAATAGGATCAAGGGTGCGGAGGCCCGACGGCGGATCACCTTCTTCGTGAACTCGCTGTTCGTGGAACAGCCCAAGAAGAGGAAGGTTCTCGAGATGCCCTCCCTGACCACGCTGACGCCTTACTACAACGAGGACGTGGTGAGTGAGATACCGTGGCGTTGTTTTCGCTGCTGTTTTTGTCATTCCTACTGCTGCTGCTGCTGCTGCTGCTGCTGCTGTTGCGGGCATGATAGGATTTTCTTGAGTCGTCATATTCTACGGGAAAGAAAAAATTATCGGCAAACAAGGTTAAGGTTAAGGGTAAGGGTAAGATGCTCCACCACGACGAGGACGTGGCGAATCAGAGAAAACGAGTAGAAGGTAGAAATGCCATGGCGGCGGTAATGCGTGTGCATCCATCACTGCTGCTGTGTATGACCTCCAATTCATCGGCGTGATTGATGGCTCTTTCTTGTCGTCAATGGTTGCGTTTGCCACGTGTGCGTCGTGATGACTTTCTATTATTTTGCCGAGATGCGCCGGCAACGTGCCATCGTTGTGGTGAAGAGATTGACGCGTGGCGTTGGGTGACGAGACTCGCGTGGAATATTTTTTGGCGGCCTCGTTGTGCACGTGCAGGTGCTGTCGATGGAGAGCCTTCGGGAGGAGACCCAGGACGGTGTTACCGTACTCGAGTACCTCAGGCAAGCGACCATCACTATGTATACCTTGTAGCTTATGTCCTGTCTATTTCGATGCATTCTGCTGTTACCTGTATCGGCGTGTGTCATCATGCCAAGGGCGCAATGAGAAGGCTGTCAGCTTTACCGTTCAGGGGTTGTTTGTGGTGCGATTGCTGACCACACACAGCTAGCGTAGGCTTTTCATCATTCTGGCTTGTGTTTCGTGCCCTCTACTTGTATTCCAGGGCGCCAGTCTGCACACCTTCAGGTGTATTGCACCAGCCGGGGTCGCACCGGAGGAAGTCTTGCGTGTTTTTTTTTTCGTCGAATTTTTGGCGTCCTCTCGCGGCCCCCGCCGTTTTGACGAAGTATTTTGGCCGTCGGTGATTGGTCCTGTGTGGACAATGCTCCGTTCTCTCGAGCACGCGTTCCCACTGGCCTAACAGCTAAATAAGGCACGCGGACATGAGTACGCCCGCCCCCCTCATCGCCACCACATGAACAAGAATGACAACAGCAATATCGCATCAACCGCCAACGAACCCCACCGCCAACAACGATGACGATGACGGTGACGATGACGACGACAGATCCATCTACCCGGACGAGTTCGACAACTTCGTGGAGAGGATGCGAGTGATGAGCACGAGTAAGAGCAAGAAGTACCTGTTCGACCTGGACGTGATTGACCCCATGCTCGACGTCGTGCTGGACACGGAGCTCGGCGCAGACCTCTCCCGAGACAGGTGTGAACCGTAGGCGGTAGGCCGCTGCTCGAGGTGGTGCACGTGCGCTGCAGGTCGCTGCTTGAAGTCGTGAGCTCGGTGTGCGCATGCGGTAGGCCTCTGCTTGAGGTCGTGGGCGCGATGCACGCGCGCAGTGTAGGCCGCCACTTGAGGCCGTGCGCAGAGGCAGCCGTCGCAAGGGCGTCCTCTACAAATCTCTCCGTCTTGTAACCAAGCGTTGGCATTATTTTCGTTGCTAGAGTCAGCTAGTGCTTGCTTGTGGGCGGATGTTTTTTGTTTACCCCGTCTCGCGTTTTTTCTTCCGCAAGACCTAACCGTATTTCGTAGCCATTTTTTCCAAGAACAAGCACACGCCGAAACAATGACGTTCAACATACACTCCATTTTTCATTTTTTCCGTTACACAACCCTCCAACCGTTCTTCCAGCGTGTTGAAGCGGGTGGAGAGAGCCATCATCACCGCCGTGCAGAAGAAGCGGAAGAACGACGGGCTCGACCCGGTGGACCCAAAGGAGGTCGAGGAGGCCGCCAAGGACGTAGACGTGGACGACATGATGCTCCAGCTGCAGATGTGGGCGAGCAACCGGGGGCAGACCCTCTCGCGGACGATCCGCGGGATCATGTACTACAGCCAGGCAGTCCGCCTGCTCGCGGTGGTGGAGAACATGTGAGGGGGCGCGGGGGGGGGGGGGGGGGGGGGGATATTCTATCTCTACCAGACTGTTGGTCGGGTACACCTGACGCCTGAATTCTGACCCCAGGGGAGGAAACGACTCCACTAACACCTA